TGCCCGGGCTCTTACCTGACCTTTATTTCCTGCTTTTTCAACCTCAGCTGCCATGCGAGGCACAGCTGCGGTTGAAAAAGCAGGAAAACAGTGGTTTTTCAAACACTGCTTCTCTGCACACAGCGCTGCTCAACTGTCCAGGCAGCAAGCTGATGGTGATTTACAGGCGCGTGCACAGCGTGCAGGGAAGCACATCATAAATCACCAAACCAGTAGTTAACCCTGTCAGATCCCATCCCTGGATGTGGCCATGTGATGGTTGCGCTTTATAACCACATTGCTTAGTGATGGAAGTTCCAGCCACAACTGCTGTTGTAACTTAAGGATTACCTGCAGTTCAAATGTGTGAACAAACCTTCCCCTTCTAAAATGTGCTTGCTTCAAGTTAGATACTACAATTAGCTGACTCATTAGAAAGTAATCCCAAGGCAGACTTGTTTTATAAGCAAACTGATGTTTATATATAGTGGAAATAAAAAGTCTATGTACCCGTTAAAATGCCAGGTTTTTGAAATGTTAAAAAAAATCAGAGCAAGAAAAATCACTTCAGAATTTTTTTTACCGTCTTTAAATATAACACATAAGCTGTACAATTCAACTGAAAAATTGAGAATCTTTGCCCACCCTTCCTTGCAAAAGCACTCTAAATCTGTCAGATTGTAAGAGCCTATCCTGTGCACAGCTCTTTTCAGGACAACCTACAGATTTTTAATTGGATTCAGGTTCGGGCTTTGGCTGGGGCATTCCAAAATGTTGATCATCTGGTCAAGCCGCTATTTTGTTGATTTGGAGGTATGCTTGTATGTCCTACTGAAAGATGAAATTCCTCAGTATTTTAGTAGCCTGAAAGTTTTGTGTCAAAATTGACATTTGGAACTGTTCATAATTCCCATCACCTTGACTATAGCCCTAATTCAAGCAGCCCCAAAACATAATGCTGCTATCATGCTTTACTTTGTATATGGTGTACTTTAGATCAGTGATCCCCAACCTTTTTAATGCCGCGGCCCGGTACCGGCATCAGCTGGGCGCCGCGGCCCGGTACAGGCATCAGGTGGGCACCGCCATCTTTTTTTGATGAAAAAGTGCTTCCGGTGAGCTTTCTACCCGGAAAAGCTCACCGGAAGCACTTTTTCATCAAAAAAAGATGGCGGCGCCCAGCAACCAGCGGCCCGGTAGGACTTGTTCCGCGGACCGGTACCGGTCCGCGGACCGGTGGTTGGGGACCCCTGATATACAGTATTAAAAACTTTAAAAATGGGAAATGCAATTGCAAAAGACTAGTAAGTGTATTTTACTGTTAGCTCCAAGATGTGCAGTAGGAGAAAGGAATCCAGCACATTTTAAAGTGATTTTGCTATAGTACAATTCTCAGGCTTAAATTGCATAGAAGAAAAATTATTTCAATCAATACTGTTATAGACTCCGCAGACGGCATGATAGTGAAGATCCTAAAAACCAAAGATACACAGAAAATAAAGAAAAAAGAAGTAAAGATGAACAAGAGACCCCAATTAAAACTTCAGAAAGAGAAGTGTTGTTAAATGATGGGAAGCTGCAAATATGTGCGCCTAACAAAAATAAATCAGGAAGAGGAGGAATGGAAACTGGAAAAGAGAAATCTCCCAAGCCAATGGGAGAGAAATGGAAGCGGCAAGAAGATAGAGATTTAAGAGAAAAACGTTGTTTTATTTGTGGAAGGGAAGGACACGTGAAAAAAGAATGTCCACAGCACAAAGGAGCTGCAGGTATGAACTCTAGCTCCAGTCCAATGCTGCTAATGGATGTTTTACTCTATATTCATCAGGGTTAAACTGATGGCCTCAGCATTGATCTTAGTTTTCTAAAGCTATGATTTAGATCTGCAGCAGTGCAGATATTAACAATCAGCATGAGAGTTTGGGATTGAGAGCTACAGTCCTTGAAAATTGCTTCCTAGCCTGTCAGCTGGAAGAAATGCCTAGTCAGCAAATTAAGTATGCTTTGCTGTACAGAAGTTAGTGTAAGGAATGGAAATAATGAAATTTGTTTCCATTTATGAAATAAGAGCTCTGGATATAATCCTTGATGCTTGTTTGGGGTAGACATAAGATACATTTCAGTAAATTGTGCAGACAGAGAGTTTATTTCAGGGGTATTGTGTCTATGCAAATGTTCACTTGTGTAGTGAAATGGAGGATATTAAATCAAGATTTTTCTTTCCCTGGTAACTTTAAATTTTTCACTTTGCTAGTTGAGACTTTTACCCTCACCCAAAAAAAGCGCTTAACCTCTGGATTGAGGAACGAGTGAAAGGGAGGGAAATTTTCATTAGAAAAATTGCAAGTATAAAGAGTAAGAACTCTGCCCTCTCCACTTTACTTCGAATTGTAACCTTAGCAATTTCTTCAGATGAACCAAACAAAAACCAGTAAACCTCTTTTGAAAGATAGCCTTCCAAAAGTTGCTCTTTATTTGTTTAGTTTTGCCTTAACATGTTGCATGAATGCAATTATGAGTTATAAGCATCTCATTAAAGACAAGGCAGTGTATAAATTCAGACAATTATGATGTATTTAACAAACCATGGTTTAACAATGAATCAGGTCTTGAGAGCTAGCTGATTTTTGACTGAAGCCAAAAGTATTTGAAAAGTTGATGCAGACATGTAAACTTTTTCACAAACTATAATTTTAACTTTCTAAGGTGTTCTGATGTTAGAAAATCCATGTGGGACCCCTATATCCAGTGCTGTTAAACACTCTGGTCGATTAAATCAGGTAAATCATGTATTGTTTTTTTTTAAAATAAGATTAGCTTTTATCTTAATACATGATAAAATTCATAGTACATCATTTCAAATAGATACCTGTTAAGATATTGCAGGGTTATGTTTCTGTTATCACATTATTTATTAGCTATCTCCAACTGTTCATTCATGCTTTTTCTTATCTATTTTTTAAGGGACTATCTCCACAGGAAGAAAAAAAGAAACAGAAAGGGAAACTACTTTTGAGTCCCCAGTCAGGTTGTAAATTAAGCTTTTTTAATGCAAACCTTACTGTCTAAGAAATGATATAGATAGATAGGTAGGTAGATAGGTAGATATAGAGAGAAAATGATATATAGATATATATTGAAATAGATGAAAAAATATCACTACTTTTTTTCTCTCACAATGATTTATATAAGCACCTTGCCTTTCTGAATGGCTACAAATTTAGGATTGGTGTTTTCAATAGCATCCCTCTACCCAATTCTTCGTGTCAGATGGAGGGTGGGGGTGTTGTTCCAGGTCTCAGGAGTTTTGGAGACCAATATGGGGGCTGCAGCATGAGGAAAGAACAAGAGCATCTATTTCTGTCCTTTCTCCTACATGAATAGCGTTTAGGATCTAACCGAATAGCCCGAGCAAAATTGTGCATCATGTAGTCAGTATACAGATATTGTCATTGATATTTTCTTATAGCAATGAAAAGAGGCAGTGCTTTTCAAGATACAATTGTCATTTGCTGATCTGCATTTAAAGCAATACATTTTCTTTTGCCTTATCTTTTCTATCTTTTCTTTTATGTATACTGGGAGTATTTACACCAAGACAAATTCCTTGTGTGTCCAATCACACTTGGCCAATAAAGTATTCTACTTCTTAATGCAGAAATACACTATGTATATATGGGATTGAAACTCCAATCAGTTCCAGTCTAGGGGTGAGGGGTGATAAGAATTGCAGCCTACCATCTCATTCACATTGCCTACACTACATTTTAGTATGTAGGTGCTTCCCAATTATACAACTTTGAGCTTGGCTCTCCAAATCAAACTGTTGAGATTTTTTTTTCCTTCAGAGTCTGGATAGGAAGAACAGGTTTGAAGTTTGAGATTACAAAAGAGCTATTGTGAATAGTGTAGAATGGATTTAGTGATTTGAAAAAGGGTATTTACGTAAGCTTTACCAATGTGCCATTTCTCCTCATGAAGAACTGTCTTACCCTTGGGAAAAAAAGTTTTTTAAAAAAATGCTTTTGATAACTTTCTTGATGTCTTCATTTCAGTCTTTTTGTCTCCATATATAGGCAGCCTTTCCAGTAAATATATGACTCAGGGAAAAGCTTCACAGAAGAGACCCCAACAAGATTCTTAAGAAACTGAAGCAATCTTTCAGTTGCAATACAGACCATCAATTTCCTTCAGAAAAGTTTATTTTCTTTTATAGGCTTTGGGTTCACAAAACAGCAGCAAAAACTGTCTTTGACATAAATCTAGAGAAAACACCTTTTATTTTAATTAAATTGCTAAAGTTACAAAGGCAATGAATTTTAATGTTTGTTCATACCATGAATCCTTGCTCTGAATAGGCTTGAGCATTTTAATAGAAAATCATGTTTGTATTTACTAGGTAAAACATGTAGATCAGGGAAATCCTTCACCCAAATCACTTCTAAGACTTTCTACATTCAGTGTGAATGTTTGAGTGCACTTAAATGATGTGCAAGCCAAATATAATGTCACCTTCAAAATATTATTTTTGAAGGGTAAAAAGGGTATTTATTAATGTTGAACATTGATTCCTTGTGTAAAAGTGTTTGGAATATTTCTGGACTGCTACTGCCATATTTGCAAATATTTTAAACTGTGGACAACTAAAACATGGACATTAAGTAAACTTTTATGTAAAAATCTTTGTTGAAAGCAGTGCCAATTTTTCCCTTCTATTTTATTATGATTGCTATGCTGCTGTCCTTTCTGTACAGAGAGTTAGAGGCAAGTTAGTTATGTTTGCTGCTGCTATGATTATTTCCCATTGTCCACAACTTGAAAATATTCCTCTGAGGAAAAAAAAGGGAGTTAAAACAAAGGAACATATTTCTGCTTTATTGAAAACTAAACATGAGTGTGCTGGGCAAGGATTTACTTTTATATCATCACCACCATTATCATCATCATCAAAGTTTTATGTCAGACTTTTCTGCAGATGATGCAGTACAGCCTTTCCAGGAGAAAATATACAGCAAAAACATAAGAAACTGTTATTTATGACCTTGGAAATAAAACAATCAAAAGAATACTTTAAATTTCTACATTTTTTGTGTTGCATGATTGGGTAACTACTGTTCAGAATTTTACTGTTATATGTGCATAAAAACTTTTCATCCCTTTTTCATTCATAATTTCACTGAAGGCATCTAACAAGTGAATTTTTAAAAAAAATATTGACACACATATTTTAAAATATACAACATAAAAAAATATATTAAAGTTGCCATACAGCTTTGTTGAAAACCTCTGTTCTAATAAGAAATCTCGAAAGAAAAGCAGCTTGTTTTTTTAAAAAAAATCCATGTAAGTACACTTTACATAGATAAATTGCTTTAATTTCGCATACCAAAATTTGAAATAAGTATAATTGGGTGCATGTTGAAGATTAAAATGCACATGAAAGCAAACAGGATATAAACATCAATTATTTTTACTAATTTTCAAAATGATGAAATAATGTCAATAAAATGCCATTTTCTTAAGGACTTTTACTAAAACAAAATACCATTGGATAAGATGAAGGCTGAGTTGGATTTCGCTTACCAGGGAAGATGAAGACATCCCAGGATATTTACAAGGTTTTATTTTAAAACTAGCAAATAAAAAATATTGTCAGGGACCTAATTACAATGATTGCATGATCAAAAACAAGAGACTGGAAAGTACATGCTGTTTTGCTATTATCTTAAAAGTAACTTATCCCAGATCCAACAGCGATACTACAAAGAAGTCTACAGGTAGAAGAAACACTTAAAACGCTAGCATTGCACAGTGAGATAATCCATCACCAAATGCAATGCAACAGATTAAAGAATGCCTCATGAATTTTCAGGATTTGGATCAGTTGACAATTAACTGAAGAGGAAGAAATGTTTATCAAGTCCAAAGCTCTAACATAAAATTTGGATGGAAGTACATGTTATCTCTCAAATAAGATAACATATTACTCCAGTTGGTTAAAGACAACACCCAAAAAGACTGAAACATGAGGAAACTAAACTATTTTTTGGAGTGAGATCAGGGACAAGGAAACAGTGTTTGAAATAAACCAATATGCCTGAAAATACAGAATGCAAGTTATATGCTGGAAACTATCTTGAATAAAAATGCTTTCCATTATAAAGGTGCAGATGTGAGCTTCTAGAGGAAACCTGGCATCTGCCTTCTAACCTAGCACCTCTTCCCAAGTTACAAAGTGGAACTTTCCTACTATTTAATTGGTTACAAACCAGCTAGTATTCTGAAGATTCCAGGTAGGAGGAGTCAGCCAGTCAGCCAGCTATTCCCTATTTGACGCAAGTTTCCTGAAATCTTCGATCACCCTCCTGGAATTAGAAATGACCCATCCAGCACAATTAATTGGCTTTCCAATCTGTGCCTTTCAGTAGGACTTTGATGGTACATTTGTATACAGTGACTCAATTGTCCCTTTGGAATACAAACCCCTTCATGGCCTGCAAACTATACTCGGGAAGTTTCCCCTTAGAAAGTTACAGAATTTTGTAACTGGTAATTATTCCTCTCAGGATAGTAAGAAATAGCAATTAAGATCAAAGGAACAAAAACAAGGGAATTTTTGGGGAGTCATTTATTAAAAATAAATGTATGTTCATGAAAGGTGTGAGCCCAAGAGAAATACAGAGGTATAATTTCCTTTAATTATGTTTGACCTGTGGTCCTCAGGGATGGGAAGTGTTTTCAGACTGCAAGCAATTTTATTCTTTTTCACCAGATGGGATTGTTTTGAATGCCAAGAAAAAAAAAAAGCAGAGGAAAAATATGTCTAGAGGATGGAAAGAGCTGTCTGCCTTACATGTAAATTCTCCATACAGGTAGTTCTTGAATTATGACTACAGTTGAAACCAAAATTTATGTTGTGAGAGACATTTGTTAAGTGAGTTTTGCCCCATTTTACAACCTTTCTAGTCACAGTTAAATGAATCACTGCAGTTGATAAGTTAGTCACATGGTTGCTAAGTGAATCTGGTTTCCCCACTGACTTTGCTTGCCAGATCACAAAAAGCTGCTCACGTGACCTCGGGACAATCGGCATAAATATGAACCAGTTGCCAAGCACCTGAATTTTGATCACATGATCATGGGGATGCTGCAAAGGTCATAACTGAAAAATGGTCATAAATCACATTTTTCAGTGCCTTTGAATGGCTTGTAAACAAACTATTTCAAGTCGAGGACTACCTGTCTTATGTTTCTCAGTGGGAAAAAGGGTTCTTAAAATCCACCTTCGGGTGACATTTTCTGGATTTTATTTCCAGCTGGAAAGTGAGGCCTCTACAAGATTAAACTGAATAAATATAACTTGATTTCAAACTGTTTTATTTTTTGCAGTTACAATGCTTTTGTTAAACTGCTGAGGCAATTTTTCATGAATACGATTCCCAGATTATGGCCAGGAGCCTCGCTGTTTGCTTCGAGTGTGGGAATCGTAATCCCGACATTTCCGGAGCTCATTCCCCTGAGGACCGACTGCCGAACCTAGTCTGCCGATTTGAAAGACATTTGTTCCCAGGGAAGTCCCAAGCGATCAGGATGATATCCTTACATCAAGACGAAGTTCAGTTCGAAAGAAACATGAGAACTTGATTAAAACGGGTGAGAAACAGATTATTCTCTTTCCATTTTTTATTTATTTAGCTCTCCTATTCCCTTAACGTAAAGGTTCACTCTATGTACATCTGACATCCCACCGGGAGATGTCTATGTCTATGGAGATGCTCAGTCATCCAGATCATGGTTGTCCAAAAGGCGCTTTTTTTTCAAGAGGCAACTGGACTTTCTGGTTTTTTTCTTTGAACATAGATCAACAGAGTTGGAAGGGACCTTGTAAGTCATCTAGTCCAACCCCCCCCCTCCCGCTCAAGCAGGAGACCCTACACCATTTCTGACAAATGACAATCCAATCTCTTCTTGAAAGCCTTCAAACGACGTTTCGCTTCTCAGCCAAGAATCTTCAGCGCTTCATGAGCCGCCTCAGTTTTCCGGCGTTCTTCCGAACCCACCCACGACAAAGAAACCCCGCGTGGTTGGCTCGACTCTTGTGATTGGGTGGCCTGTAGAAAAGGGAGGAGAGACCCAATCACCTCTGCCACTGACCCGCCCACCCAGACTACTGAGCGGCGCGCGATCCATCCAATAGCGGCCAAAGCCCTCGAAAGAAGAACCGCCTTCCTTCCCTGATGACGTCACCAACACGCCTGACTTTCCCTTGCCTTCGACCGCTGGGTGTATATGGACGACATTGGAGGACGCGGCTGAGAGGTGTGGAAGGGGGGGCGTGGGGAGGGCGTCATGGCTTCCTCCATGGTCCGAGCCACCGTCCGGGCTGTGAGCAAGAGGAAGATTCAAGCCACCCGAGCAGCCCTCACGCTGGTTAGTATTCAGGGAGAGGTGGAGTTGCACCGGGCAGCCTCCTGTCTCCCGCTGCAGAGCGGGGTTGAGCCTGGGGGGTGGGGGTGGCGGGGGGGGGAAAACTACCGGCTGGTAAACAAGCGTACTGCGCAGGCGTGCACGAAAGGAGGTGGGGCGTAGAGGGGGCCTCCAGTGATGGTCAGGCGGAGATTGCTGCAGCCCCTTTGATGTTTTGATGTTCTGCCTTTTTTTGCTCTTTTTTGTTTTTAATATGCCTCATCCGCTTCCCACCCCAGGCAGACATTCACTAGGGAGATGAAAGACAAGTACAGTATCGCTTCCAGTGAACTGTTAACCGTCGTGCAGCTGGTGGCATATGAGCTTTCACGACTTTTCACGATTGTGTTACGGGAGGGTTGTATGGAGGAGAGAGAGTGTAACACCAGAACCCTTATAGTGACAGTTTAGGTTTTTTTTTTCCTGCTGTAATCCAAGGACTTGTCAGTTTATGGTATCTGAGATGAGATTCCCCAAAATCAAAAGATTATTGAGCTGAAAAAAAAATACTTTATGCAGCTGTGTTTTCTGTGATTGCCCACCTCCTTTTTAAAAAAAAATTGAGAAAGGAATTTATATTGGGGCAAAAGCAAATGCCACCACCAGCACTGATGATGTTACCTAGTTAGGGTAATGAAACATCTGCAAGAAAACAAGCTAGCTCAGAGACCACCAAGGACCCCCTCAAATGCCTTGTGTAATTCTGTTCTGGTGTTCAATATAAATTACCAAAAGGATTATTGTATTTTATTGCCACACTACTTTATTGTGTGTAATGATGGGCATCAACTACACTGCCATGCATTAGGTGGTACAAGTAATCCTCAATTTACAGCCATTCATTCAGTGACTGTTCGAAATTACAAGGGCACTGAAAAAAGTGACTTGTGATTGATTGTCACACTTAACGACTGTTGCAACATCTCCATGGTCACATGATCAAAATTCGGGCAGTTGGCAACTGGCATGTATTTATGACAGTTGCACTTTCCCGGGGTCATGCGATCACCATTTGTAAACTTCCTAGGTGGCTTCTAAAGCAAAGGCAATGGAGGAAGCCAGATTCACTTAACAACTGCAATGATTAATTTAACCACGGCAAAAAGATAATAAAATTGGGTGTAACTCATTTAACTGTCTTGCATAGCAATGAAAAATATAGGTTCAATTGTCATAAGTTGAGGACTACTTGTATATAAGAACAAACTATTTACCTAAAAATGAACGTATACATAAACATTGGGTGCCAAACACGTTAAAAAATTTCAGTCACCTCTGTGATGTTCAGTTTTATGGGAAGGAAATCTCAATGGAGAAATTATTAAATACTCGAGTGAATTGAGATCTG